ACCAGCTCGTGGCCCCACGGTTGAGTCTGACCCCTTCGGAGCTGTTGGGGTCCCTGAGCTGCTCTTGGAGCATTGAGGAGGATCCCTGCAGCGGAGCCTGTGGTGTGAGCGCTGAGCAGCTGGACGCTGTGGTGCTGCAGGTGAGTTTGGGACCCTGCAAACACAAGGAATGCTGTCTGCAGCATTTCTCTCTTAGAGATGCAACAAAGCGATCAGGTACGCGAGGGAACGCTGCATCTGGGTGCTACACTGCAATTGAGTATCTATGCATGCTGATGCATCTGCGGTGTGAGAAACACACTCCCTCCCCCTCCTTCCCCGGCCGCCGCCAGGGCCCTCGTGCGATCACGCTTCTGTTACCTCAGGACTCGGCCCTAGCCCTGGGCCACACTGTGACACAGTTGGCGGTGCCTGTACATGGCCTGACTTGCGGCGCGCTGCTGCGCCACTTGTACACGCATTACGCCGAAGAGGTGCCTTTGGACACGACCACAGCTGCCCTGCTGTGCAATGCGCATGGCAGCCGTGCCGCTGAATGCGAGGCAGCCTATGTGCCACGCCACGCGCTGCTGTGGCCACGGCTGGCTTTGGATGGTGTCGTGCGTGCAACGCGTGACCCGGCGGGTTGCGTTTACGAGGTCTGCCTCATCTCGTGATTGTGGCTGGCTGGCGCGCAAGCACCGCGTGGCCTGCAGGCCACAGCCACATAGCTGCCGCACATGCACGCAACAATACGGTATTGACTGGTACGTTGTGGTACAACTAAACGTCTGGATTTCACCGGACTGCCCATCGGAAACTTGTGAGCGATGTGTCGTGGGGGGCTTGCCTTGCGCTGGCTTGCTTTGCTGGGGCGCACGCCAGGCGTGCGCCACTACACAGCCAACGTGTGCCGGGTTGTAATGAGGAGCAGAGGCAAGCATGTGCAACGCTCGGTAACCTTTTGTCTCTTATAACGTTACTTAGCTCAGCATTTTGCAGCTATTATCAGGCAGGATGAAGGCAATTGTCGCTGTGCTGGTGGCGGCCCTGCTCGTCGCTTATGGCCAGGCAGCCTTGAACACGGACAGGTGCGTGTCGTCTTCTTCCACACGCGGCCTTTTGTGGCCCCTCAGATCTTGTTTGATGGACGACAGCCTCAGCACGACCACCAGCAGATTCATTGCTTACAGCCTCACATGTGGTGTCGGCATTCAGCAATTTGATGCTTGCATGTTATCATAATGTACTGTGAGATGCAGATGCAGCAGGGCTCGGCGCGCTTTCGCCAATCGCACGCGACAACTGGCCTGTTCGTTCATACAGGACGCTCACCACGGCGGGAGCTCAGTGCCTGGACAAGTTCAATGCGCTGATCAAGGACAAGTACAAGGATGACGCCACATGCGCGAATCTTATTCGCGCAGCCATGTCGACCGCCGATCCTGCGAAGTGCCCAGCCGGCAGCGATCAGGCCAGCTCTGCCGTTCAAGCTTGTATGTCGAAGAGCGCGGTGAGAGGCTTGAAGGCTTTGATCGCTATAGGGGCCTGTGTTTCACCCAAGATTCAGATAGTTTTGTGCGTTTGATTATGGGGTTGGCAGGTCCAATTGTGGTCCTCTTGGGGCAGGTGGCTGCGCCAAAGCCTTGGCATACTCGCTGCGAAAGCCAGCCACAATTGGATTGCCTTTCCATGCTAGTGCCCCCTCATGCATACTATCAGAACAAACCTTCACTGCCATGACCATCACCGCAGGATGTGTCCGAGGCATGGGTTGCTTTTGTGAGGGGCTGTGAGGTCCTGAACGTTGCCAACGTGAGGGGGATGACGCGGGGGGGTCGGGCCACAAGGAGATCGCCTCGGTGGGCGGGCGCACGCTTGATCACAGCGGGGATTGGGCAGCGTTTGGATGGTGTTCGCAACAGATAGCTCAATGCAGGCCTTCCTGACGGCACCTCAGCGTGCATTCCGCAGTCAATGGCCAGAGGATTTCAGCTCACCACCCCTGTTGCGATACGATGCTGCACCGCAGCGTGCAGGCGAGGCCGAGGCTGCGACTGAGCGCAAGCCTTCATGCTTTCCTGCATTCGCTTCCCTGGACGATTTCGTTAAGTACGTCAAGGCAAATGGCCAGAGCGGTGCCAAGGCTGCCAGCTCTGCCGCGCGCGGGGCTGTGTCATGGCTGCTGCTGGTTGCTGCCGGTGCTGCTGTAAATGCCCTGTGACAAAGCCCACGGTGACCCCAGCTGCACTTGTGCGAATTTGACTGATTTCAATGCAACATGCATTAATTTAGCAATATGACTCTCTTGTTTGACATCGCAACTCTAGTTCCTTTGCAGGGAGGAGTTACTATTGTGCAGAAACCAGTCAGCAAACCTGCTGGGGAGGAGCGATTTCTGGAATCTTGCCACGCACAAAGTCGGCCGCAGCCCAAACCGCAGCCAGGTCCTCCTCGGCCCCCGTAAGCGAGCCAGCCAAGCCCGTCACAGCTGCCGCCACCTCTGTATGCGCGCCGTCGCCCGCTGGTGCGGTCACCTGAGAGAACCCCCCACCAGTGGGGCCGCCGAATCCGCTGCTGGCCTGTGACTTCAGCGACCCACCGCCCTCAAACCCTCCGCCCTTCTGCCCAAATGCGTCGCTGCCGGGGGCAATGCTGGCACCACCGGCAGAGCCGCTGCCAAACACTACGCCACCCCTGGCTCCGCTGCCAAATATTCCTCCCGCACGCCCTGCTGCCGCAGTGCCTCCAAAAGCACCGCCGCCCATTGGCGCAGCTCCGAAGCCACCTGCTGGGGCTTGGGCCCCAAAGCTGCCGGGCCCAGCAGAAGCACCGAAGGTCCCGCCGACCACCTGAGTCGAAACACCAAACACAGTGCCTTGGCTCTGCGGTTGCGGGCCCGTCTCGCCAAACGGAACCCCGGCTGCGGGTTGCGTCAGCCCAAAGGCAGCAGCAGGGGTTGTGCCAAAGGCTGCATGTTGTTGCTGCTGCTGCAGGTGGTGCTGAAGTGGAGGATGTTGCCCGAACGCAGCGGCCTGGTGTGGTTGGCTGAAGGCATCACCTCCTGATTGTGCGTGGCCAAAGCCGCCCAACGGCTGATTAAATGCAGCATCTGGCTGACGAAGGACTGGCGCCGCTGCTGCTTGTTTGCCAAATATGCTGGGCCGCGCCTGCTGCTGCACTGGCGGCACGGCGCCCGCACCAAACGGCCCCCCTGTCGCGATGGGCGTGGGTGCGCCTTGCTGCTGGAAGGACGTGACGTAGGGGTTGGGTACAGGCCGGAACTGCTGACTGGTGGGCGGCCGACCATGACGCTTGATGTTCTGGGTAGGATGACACCACAGGCCAGGGGCCGACAGGGAGCGTGACGCAGCCGCAAAAAAGATCGTGTGAGCATGCATATCACCCTGCACCCTTCCTGGTGCAGCACTGCCCTGCTTCATCCCCGTTTCCGCCAGGTGTCCACGCAAGCGCACGCTGTCATGGCTTAACCACAACCCACAGTGCGGCCGGCATGGCCACCCACCTGCATCAGCCCCTCAATATCAGCCAGCTTTGAGCGTACCCCCTCCTGGAAGGCGCTCGACACCTGCGGGAATGTGCGGCCGCCCCGCACATCCTCCTGGCCCCGCCACCGCGCCTCTTCAAATGACACATCACCTGCATGTTGTGCGTGCGCGAGCGTGCCATGTAGACTGTCGCTTGGTGCGACAAAGGATCTTGCGCATGGCCTGCAATTCTGCAAAACCTCCGTCGCAAACCCCTTGGCCCCCTCCCCGAGACCTGTGACGGTGAGCATCTGGCACACACCCAGCGCATGAGAGTGAGCGACGCCACCTGAGCCGCCCAAGGGGCATGTGCGCTGGAACCTCCCTCAACCTGCGCCTTGCCTCGGCTGCGCACCTGTTAGCAGGTTACGTCCCTCGCGGTCGATGGCATAGCAGCTGAGGGCCCACAGCGGCCGCTCTTGGGCCAGGTCAAGTACCACTGTGGTGCGGTAATCGTGGGGACCGCCACCTCCGCTGCCACCACCGCCGCCGCTGCGCCGGCTGTCCCCGCCACCCCACTGCTGCTGCCTGCCGCTATCGCCACCACTGTTGAGGGCGCTAAACCTGTTGCCGCTGCCTCTGCCGCCACCACTGCCGCCGCCCCTGATGCCGCCACTGTTGAAATTGCGCTGAGGAGCCCCGCCCCTGCCACCCTGCTCGCGGCCACCTTGCTGCTGCTGCTCGTGCTGCTGCTGGTAGCTGCCCCCGCCTTGGCGACCCCAGCCTGCAGAGGCGCAAAGCGCATGCTTATAAATGCTGATGGGACATCGGCAAGGGGCGATGCATGAAAGGGCGATTGTAGGGCGACAGCAACAGCACAGGAAGCTCTACACGCGGCACCCGCATGTTGTCGGCGCACCTGCAGAGTTGCCACCCCAACCTCCTGAACCGCCCCCGCGGCGCGACATAAGCGACGGTCAGGACAAGCTACGGTCAGGTGTACAGTACCACGCCGCAAGTCATGATCTACTTTTCGTCCTGTCCGGGGGGTCCTCGAATTTTTCAGATGATCAAATGTCCTTCGTGTACACGCTTGTTCTTGTTCTGGTCACACGTTGTTGTTGTATCATATCATCTGAGAGCACTGACCCGCGTTCATCGCATTCACGTGCTCTCTACACAATCGCGTCACATTCAACTTATACCAATGCAGCAGGCCCGAAAATTCGGTCTCTCCGCTTCCAAGTTTTCCAACATGCCTGTGGCCGCGCCCATTCCCGCCGCCACGCCATGTGTGCGCGCGAGTAGGCGCGTCCGACAGATCTGCAGCATGCCGCGCTCTGCCAAGCTGGGCACAGGTGCGACAGGGGCAGGATGTTTGCTACTGCCAGCAAGATGGCCATGGTGGCGCAGCTTCCAATGTGCGCGCAATCTGACCCCAACGCAACCAAGGCGCCGCTGCCCGCCCTGTCGACCTACCGCACGTGACTGGTGTGTGAGCGGTTCCCAGTGTCTGCTGAGGACCGCTCATACATGAACCGTGCCCTGGACTTGGCCATGCTGGCCTTCGGCAAGACTCATCCCAACCCCCACGTGGGCTGCGTCATCGTGCGTGATGGGCAGGTGGGCTGAGCAGCCAAGAGGTGCCATCTTTTCAGGGTCAAGGGCCCACACACCAGCGCGCCCCTGACGCCGTTTTGGCGGGGTGGGAGGGGCTGGAAAAGAGCGTGATCCTCGTGTGAAGCTCAACGTCGCTTTGGCGGTGCTGCCCCCGGCGACAGCGCCGCACCCCACCCCTACCACTCTGCCGCCTCAACCCGGGCGGCGCCCAGGTGGTGGGTGAGGGCTACCACCCCAAGGCAGGCCAGCCCCACGCCGAGGTGTGGGCACTCAGAGGGGCAGGTGAGTGAAAGCATGGCATGTGCACTGCTGGGGTCCCCTTCCAGACAAAAGGGTGCGATCACTCAAATTTGGCAGTTGCGGCAATTTTGTCCGTCCCCCTTGACACACGCACACTCAGGCCCACACACAAATATACACAAAAACACAAATCAACACGACCACCTCCACTGCGAGGCATCCCATCACCACCATCACTACCGGCGGCCTATTTTGTCCCTTGATCCAGGCCAGGCCGCCCAGGGCGCCACTGCATACGTGACCCTGGAGCCGTGCAACCACTATGGGCGCACACCCCCCTGCAGCCAGGCCCTGGTAGAGGCGGGCGTCAAGAGGGTGGGTTGGGCAAGACGTGCAGGGGCGCGTGGTTAGGCTGTGGGGCGATGTTGGGGTTTTCTTACCGGCCAAAAGCAGGGCCTGGCCTGCTGTTGTCGCCAGCTGTCCTTCAAGCATGGGCCCTCATGATCCCCTGCTGTCCACTGTCCGCGCACTTCTGTTGCAGGTTGTGGTGGGCGCGGGCGACCCCAACCCGCTGGTGGCTGCAGCTGGGATCGCTACGTTGCAGTCTGCTGGTATTGAGGTAGCCCTGATGGACGGCGCTGAAAACCAGCGCGCCAAGGACATCAACACAGAGTTTTTGGCGCGCATGGAGGAGGAGGCTGCAATTGGTGCGCGACCAAACCGGGGAGTGGTCGGGACAGGGAAAGGTCGCCAAGCTCATGGCAAGGCCTGTGTGGCGCGGACACAGGCAGTCACCTTTTTTGCCATGTTCTGCGACCCGAGCCTTTGCCGCGCCTGTTGCCCTCCATATCAATGCAGAGATGGCGCGCCTTCAGGCTCTGGCCAAGTCCAGGGAGGCGGCTGGGGCGCAACACAGTGATTGACACCAGACATTGAGGCGGCATCCCAGGCCATGCATTATGCTGCAAGCACGCGGCGTCTGTGCCTGCAGGCGTGCGACCTGCAGGGAGACCGTTCATATGTGCAGCTCATGTGAGCAGAATGTTGCTGTTAACTGTGCCTTGTTGTAACATGCAAGCTCGGACTTGTGGAAAGGAGCCCCGCCTGAAAACAAGGACGTCGCAGCCACAGCCACTGAGCCACAGCGGCCTGACCACACGCGAATGTGAACCATCTACCTACCAGTGCTCAGACTCAACCATATAAAAGCTGGTGATTTGTTCGGGTTTAATCACAAAACTCGCAACTCTGCCTATCAGTTCATACTCTCACGCACTAACGCGCTACTCGCTCCGGGACGCACACTACAGTCGCAGCAATGGCCGCCCTTATCGCTCGCCCCCTCGCTCTGAAGGCCCTCAAGGTAGGTCGACATAAATGCTCACATTGGTTTGCACACCAGCAGGGCGTGTGCATGTGCTTCTGCCATGATGGCACTGTCAGCGCCACCACAAGCACCATGAGCAATGTTGACGGGAGTCCCCACATCAGGCTACATGGTCACTGCCCTGATCCACTTTGTTGCTTCTTGCAGCGAACACCAGTTATCCATCCCCCCTTGCGCATCTCCCAGGCCAACCGTGCTCAGAAGTGCTCTGGCCGCCGCATCGCTGTGTGCCGGGCCGAGAACAAGCCTCAGGAGACCATCAACTACGGGGGCCAGGTGGGGATCAATAAAAGCAAACACATTCCATGCAAGTGATGTGTCCCAAGGATGGTGGTGACACACAGTATGGCTGGTATGAGGCCGCGAGCGTCACAATGACATGCGTTCTAGAACCGTCACAATATGTCATCTTGCTGACCTCAATGCGTTCCAACCCCACACCGACCACCTCTTCAGAGCTACACCCCTGCTGAGTGGGAGGCTGCCAAGGCTTCCGGCAACCTGCCCACTGCGGAGCCTGTCCCGGTGGCTGCGGCATCCACCCCGGCCCCTGTGGGTTTCAGCTCTCTGATGGCATTCTCCGGCCCTGCTCCTGAGCTCATCAACGGCCGCCTGGCCATGCTGGGTGTTGTCGCCGCCATCGCCGCTGAGCTGGCATCTGGCGAGAGCGTCCTCAAGCAGGTCTCCGACGAGCCTACCGGCATTGTTTTTGCCTTCGGCATCTTCATTGCAGCCAGCTTTGCCCCCCTCCTCAGCAACGTCCTGCCATCTGCTGAATCGGTTGGGCCCTTCAACGCCAAGGTGAGTGATGATTGGCTTCCTGTGCTCCGGGTCCCAAAAATGACGATGCGGTCAGCAATGCTGCACCAACATGTTTGCATCCTACACTCCCCTCTGAGGCTCAAAAGTTGAAAATGATGCTGGGCACTGGTGGTCTGTTGATTGGCCCTTGTGCAAATGCAATGTCAGGTCAACTTGTGCCGCATCCACATCTCTGACCCTCATGCATTCCTGACTGTGCAGGCTGAGCTCATCAACGGACGCGCGGCTATGATCGGCTTTGCTGCGCTCCTGGCCATCGAGCTTGCCAAGGGTTCAGCTCTGTTCTAAAAGGGCGCCACAAGTCTGTTGAGCGAGCATGTGACCACCCCAGGACGTTGCATATTGCAAGGTCTGGTGTGCATAGTGTACTTTGACTGTTGCGCAGATTTTGAAAGAAGTGAGAGTAGGGCGGGTGAGAGGTGTGTCCTGAATTAGATGCAATTTTTTCATATTATTTTGCAGCCTTCAGCCCTGCCAATTGCCAGGCTGTAAGTGCACTCATTAACACAAAGCAGCTCAATCTTTGCCCTGTATGCACTTAACCGTGTAACACATCTGCGGCTTGATCAAAATTATTGCCGTGTGCCATTCCTGACATGAGACTAGTAGAAACATGTGCACTTCAACATGCAATACTGCAGGTCAAATATAAAACAGCTCCAGACGAAGAACAATTGCGCCTGCACTACATATCTGCATCTGAAACAGGCTGCATATCTATTCACAAACTATGTTATGTACAGCTTGGCAAACTCTGCTGCGGTGGTCGAATTACTTCTCATATTTACACGCCTGGTTTCACAAAACACGTCCTCAACTAACCTGCCCCAAACAAAGCGTATGAATGGCTGTCCTGTGCGATATTCCAAGCAGAACCCACCGCAGCCAGCACTGAGACCACACAGCAGGATATATTCACAACTTGCATTACGGCCCGCTGCCAGGGTAATGGTGAGTGCACCTTGGCATACATTGTGATGGGGAAGTACACTGTGGAGGGCCAGAACGTGATGGCCCCGATCAGGCCGATGATGTCTTTGAAGAGGCCCAGATGAGGCCAGGCCAGTACAAGGACGGGTTGTTGAGTTGGTGGTTTGTTGAAGAGCAGGGGGCACACAACCAGCATGGGGCGCACGACCAGCAACCTGAATTCAGGAGCTGTGCATCAGCTACCCGCCCCCTGCACTGCCTTCAGACCCAATAGTGCTCGACACGCAACAAAGCACCCCCCCCAGACACACACAGGCACGCAGGCACGCACGCACGCACGCACGCACATGCACGAACATGCAATAACTCCACGCTCGTATCAACTGGCACGCAGGAGCGCACATGCTGTGCGCAAACGAAAGCACGCCCATGCACTCCAGCCTTACCCGAAAAGAAGGGCATTGCGCAGGCCACAGCGGTAGTGCCCACTACATAAAGGCTGCGTAGGACCAGCCTCATGGGTAGTGGCCGCGCCTTGAGCATGCTCCACCTGCTGCCCAGGGCCTCCTCCATCATGTGGAACACTGGCTGACTGAACACCTGGTAAGCTGGGACCTTGGCAGGGGAGGACGAGAAACCGGAAGGGACGCGCAGGGGAGGCAGCAAGGGAGACATGGACAGGTGCAGAGCCAGGCCGCGTGACATCATGATGCATGGTGTCCAACGTCAGAAAGTTGACACAGCCATTATTTCTGCAGCAGGCAGGGGTACAGGCCCAGGTTCGGACACGCCTGCCATGTTGCCCCTCCCAGGCTTGCACAATGTTTGCGCCCACCTCCCACCCCCACACCTCCAGCTGCCCTCACCATGTGAACCAGCACCATTGCATTAGCAGCAGTGACGAGGGCCTTTGGGGAGTTGAAGCCGGTGAGAATGTTGCCGGGCGTGGCGTCCCCCAACGCGGCGTAACCCACAAAGCCGACGCCCACGTAAAACACAAAGGTCACCGCCATGGACGCCCCCACAGCCCTGCGCATGGTAAGCTTGGACTTGGGGGGCTCGTGGATGGTGTCCTGAGAGGGGGCGGGGTGAATGAGCGGGGGGACATGGAGCGGGACATCGGGGCTGCCCTGCTGGGCCACGTCCTGCAACAGCTGTGGGTGCAGGCGCCTTGCCAACCCGGCGCACTGGTTTCGCGGCCAAGGCCCTTCCCCAGCCAATGCTTACAGGAGCCCGCCATCACGCATCTTGCATTCCAGCCCCACCTGGACCTCCAACAGCACAGCTGAGAAAGAGTAGGCAAAGGCGATAGCCCCAAGGGCGTTGAACACACCAAATGCCTTGACACGCGGCTCCAGTTTGCGCCCCACTATAGTCAAGTTTGATGCATTGGCTGCTGACGCGCATGTGATAGCCGTTGTCACCGGGGATTTGAGGATGAGTAGTGACATCACGGAGCGTGGCAATCTGCCATCCAATCTTCTGCGCACTTGCCTCCCTCCCCTGCATCCCCCCCGCCACAAACACACATACATTTCACCCCCCCCCCAAACCCACATGAACGCGCACCACTCGCCGCGCCCATGCCGAGTGCAGCTGTGCTGTAAAGGACAGACATGGCCGCTCCCACCATGGACGACCACCAGGCCGACTCCAGCGTAGGCATCTGACTGAAGAACAGCTGCGTGATGCCGAACACGATGGACATTTGCCACACGGTGCTGCCGCAGCCAGTATCGCGGACGTCACAGTGGCTGTGCACCACCATCCTGAGGAGCGAGGCAGGTGGCGGCGGGCAGCCGAGGACGAGGGAAGTGGTGGTGAGCCTTGCCTTCTTGCGCCGTGCCTGGTGGAGGACGATGTCGACCTCACAGGCAGGCGAAAATCCAGACAGGCCTGCAGCTTCTTGTCACTCCTGCTGCCCCCTCCTCACTGGTCCAAGCCCCCCCACCCCCCCACCACAACACACACACACACACACACACACACACACACGCACACACGCACACAGGCTATGTCCCTCTGCGGCGCCCCAGTCCTTCTCACTTCATGCTCTCCCCCGCAGCGACGCTGTAACCAATGGAGGACAGCACCAGGTTGGACAGTTGGCATACAGTAACAGCCACAGCACTGCCACGTCCTGGATTTGAGGTCACGTTTCAGCAGCTCAACGATCATAGGGGCGTTGGAGAGTGGCTAAACGCCATGGGCAAGCCGCAGGACGTGTCAAACCAGGGCACGGCCGACTCATTCGGGCCCTTGGCTGTGTGCAAACAACGAGTGAGCAGCGCTGCTGCAGAAGCATAAAATTCAGGACCTGGCTTAAGGCGTTGTGTCTGCGGCTACAAACATGCCCTGCGCAACAAACAAAATGTGCCCCTCACCCAACACACTGATCACGGCGTCGCCATAGGTCCCGTGCTTGCGGCCGTCCACCTCGTACATGTCACTCAGCATGAAGCTGCACCACAGGGTGACGCCGCAAAACACCACCAGCGCGATGGATCCCCCCAACCATCCCAGCATGGAGAGTGAATGGGGCAGGCCCAGCACACCGGCTCCAATGATGGCCGTGATGATGTGGAAGCACGCCATCACCCAACCCCCTGATCCAGGACACCGGAGGGAGGGGGCTCAGCACCCAAGGCACCTTGGCATACAACAGGCTAAGCTGCACCACTTGCCCAGCAAGCTTATGCAAAAGGCAGTTTTCCCCCCGTCATTCAGGTCCCCAGACTACCGAACCCCCTACACGGTCGGCCCCACCCACCCTCTGTGTGCATCCACTCCCAGCAGCTGCGCCTCTTGGTGAGGCCGTACTGCGCGTAGATCTCAGAGTGTTTCAGCCCTTCACTGCCCATGCGGTCCGCATGCTCCTGTACCATGATTTGGAGGACAGGTAGTGCAACAAGGTTGATCACGATGAGGGTATATGGCCTCTGCAAATTGCGCCGCCGGCTGGTTGCATGGGCGCTGTCGCCAACGCATTCTGCTTTCAGATGGCTCTTGGCCCCTTGCAGGTGAGGCAACGCCAATTCAATCAAAAAGCTGATTTGTCATGTTAACAAAGGCGGCAGCCGAGCAAGGGCTGGTCGACAGGGCTCTGCATGCGCGGAGCTGCGAGGCGCGTGAGGCTGGGGTCAACTGCCGAAGCAAGCCTGCTGCCCAACCGAGCGTAGCAGCAACCAGGCCTTGGCCCAACCCCCTTTCCAACGCACCAGGTCTCCAAGGGGCTGCAGCTCAAGTCCGGATCCTGCCCTGGGCTCAAGGCGCGAGGCGCTGCCGTAGCGGGGCAACCGTGGGGGCGGCATGGCGGTGGTGCCGCTCCGGCCAAGCCACTGCGTGCAAGGCCGTCGCCTCCGCTGCTCCCCTAACCGGTCGCAGTTAATCCATAAGCGTGGTCGCCTGTGCTATGACTTGCTCTTTGCAAGGCCGATCGCTTCCTTCACGATCGCTTGCGGCGAGAGCAGCACCAGGATTGGCTAGCACGCAGATGTTTACTCTACAGGTGCTGCGCCCCACGGTGAAGCCGCCGAGGCTTCAACTCAGTATGCTTTAGGATTCGATAGTACTGATGGCACGGTTGATGGGGTCAGAATACCTCGATCGGGGCTTGTGTTGCACGATTAGATCAAACACCGTGATCAAAGAAGGCAGTGGCACATTTGCTGTGAAAACATGCTATTTATTCGTCCATCACAAAAATAATAGCATCCGGTATCGCTCTGTGTTGGCTGCTACTTGTGTAACCGGGTGTCGAAAGCCAGCGAGGGTGGTTGAGGAGGTCAACATACATCCCATAGTTGCCTAGAATATGTTTCAACTCCCTCTGATGTGCATACAATGGCTTTCAGCCCCTCTTCGGGCTTGCTGATCGCACAGGGGCCGTGACTCAGTGACAACACGTTGTCAATAAGCGCTTTCTGGCCCGGAGCCAGCATCCAAATGATAAGGATAGATCATACGGCGGGTGCGCTCAAGACGCGCACGTGCGACGGGCTGTGGAGGCTTCGCGAAAACGCTAGGCTTCGCTATGGTTGTCAGCACCTCGATGCCTCGCGATCCTCATCAAATCTACCCCGATCGATGCACCACAGCAGGTTTCAGTCTTTGGCGAGCGCCCCTGTGCCACATGCGAGCTGAACGATTGCCTGCACGCGGCGTCACTCGGCGTCAGACAGGCGCTGCACCCCGCCACCATACCTACACTGCAGCACGACCCGTTGCGGCGGGGGCCCTGAGCACCGCGCAGCGCTACTATGCGAGCCAGCCTCTTTACCGCCTCTCGCCGGATGGGAGCGTTGTCACTCTGCCGCCCATAGGCGGCCCCGGCAGGCACTGCGGCCGTGCCAACCAAGCAGGCTCAATCATGTCGGCGCATGCCGACACCAGTGTGCTGGCCGCTGCTGCCGATCGCATAAAGGTCCAATTCCTCGTCCCGCACTACGTCACCAGGTTTGCAGGGTAAAGATTGTGGTCGGGGTCTCATCGTCCGGAATTGCTTCTGCGTGGTGGTACAGCGGTACAGGAAACTGTGGCGTGCTGAGTGCGGTGGCGGCGTGCTGTTGCGGCAGCAGCAGGCAACGCAGTTTGAACCCTGTCTTACCACCTCAGGTTTGGCCAGGTGCTCAAGGTGGTCGGAGCACTCGAGGAACTTGGGGCGTGGGCCCCGGAGAAGGTGGGACACCCTTCACGTGGTCGAGGGTGCAGATGGCGACCCTTGATGGAGCTGAGTGGCCGACATGCATGCTATTAGCCCAAAAGGCAAGCCTACTTGGCCATTGCGCCTGTGCCTCATATCTCGCCATGCCTCTGTTTTTTGCTGCTGCGCGCTACTTACACAGCAACCACATCAAACTTTGTGCCGCCAGGCCCCCACAATGACCTGGAACGAGGGCCACTCCTGGACTCTGGACATACCCCTGCCGGCTGGCAAAGTGACCTTTAAGGTGGTCATGCAGGAGGCAAATGGCGGTGTGCGCTGGGAGACCAGCACCGGCAACAGGGCAGTCACGCTGCCCGCCACCACTGATGCCGCCACACCTGTGGGCAGCGTGGGCGTCGCTTGCAGCTGGGGCGAGATTAGCGACACGCGCGTCAAGGGTGAGGACGGATCCCGCTGCAGCCACCCCGGCCTGGCACATGCCATGCCTTCAAGTTTGTCGCCCGGGTCAATTGTTCATTGCAGAACCTTGCCCTGCCACCCGCTTGGCCACTGCACTTGCCACAGCTGTGTGCCCCCCATCCCCCCGTGCACACACTCCTGCTCCCAGCCCCCAGCGTGCGTTCCCCGCTGTGCATGCAGCCCTCCCCGACAGGAGCTTCCTGCGCTCACGGCTGGACGCCCTGGAGGGGCGCGCCTCAGCGCTCCGGCACCAGCAGAGCCGCACCGTGCTGCTGTCGGGCCCGACGCACTCTGCGCCATCAGTGCCAGACGGGGAGGTGGGGCTAGCAGGTACTGCGTGGACGCCAGGTGCTGCCGTGCCCAGCGGCGTGGGCGAGCGCGCCCTTGGCGCGACGGTGGATCAGCTGCTGCAGGTCGCGCATGAGGCACTCGACCGTGGGGACTCCAGTGCCGGCGCGATCGCACTGGGCGCCGCAGAGTGCGAGGCCGAGGTTGCCGCCACAGTCCTTGCCCAGCTGCAGGCAAGCCTGGCCACATTTCGCTGTGCTGGACAGGGGTGTTTGCCATTTGTTTGAGGGCCAAAGTGCTGTTATGTTGGGTGCACAGCCATTCGCTTGTTGCCCCAAACAAAGACCTGTGCTTGCAGCAAGGTCCTGTCTCACGGCGTGCAGAGCGCTGCAGCGCACTGCACTGCATTGCACCGCGCTGCACTGCACTGCACTGCACTGCACCGCGCTGCACTGCACTGCACTGCACCGCGCTGCACTGCACTGCACTGCACTGCCAGGAGCCCACTTCCCTCTCGCGCTGCTGCATACTCCTGGCGGTGTCACAGGCCGCCACTGCCGCCCTGGAGAACCAGGTCAATCTGGCTGCAGCCTGGGCAGCCAGCAAGACACAAGCCTCCCTGCTGGCGGACGAACCTGCCGCGCCTGTCGGTCCCGCCATGCCTCAGCTGCGCGACTCTGTGTTCAGCGACGAGGCCCCTCCGGCCACAACCTCCCCGCAGACCGCCGCAGGGCAGGCTGGCAAGGACCCCGCCGGCCCGGCGGCGGCCCTCGTGCCCACCCCAGAGGATCAGGGCGGGGCACTCATGTTCAGTGCCGACAGCCTTCGAGCTGAGGTGGATCCCCACGTCATGCTCCGGGCGGTCCTGGAGCGCACCACCAGGTCTGCAGCTGGGGCCACCAGCGCGCCAGCAGCAGCGGCTGCAGCGTATCTGGAAACGGAGCTGCGCTCCACACCCACGGAGGTGGAGGCCCCGCCCCCCGAAGTGCAGCACAGCAGCGCGCCACAGACGGCTGAGGTCCCCGCGGCCGGGCGTGTGGCCACGGTGGCGGCAGCCTCAAACGTTGTCCTTTCTGTTGACGCGCAAAGCAGCACTGGTACTGCAGTGGCCCGCCCTACACAGGTGGTGCCGGCCCCCAGCGGCGCCGGCCCTCAGCGACAGCAGCTGCAATCTCTTCTGGGCGGCATCGAGGCCAAGGCTGACGCTTGCCGCACCCTCACCGCCCAGATAGCTCAGGGCAGGGCTGCCAAGCGTGATGCGGCTCTTGAGGTGGCCGCAGCACCTACAGTTGCCACCATTGCGAGCCTCAATGACGGGCTCTTTGCGGCGCGGGCCTCGGCGCTGGCTGTCGTGGTGGCGATGCTGATGTCGTCAGCTGGCCGCAGGATGGGCGCATGATAATAGCACGGCCTCGCCCCTGCTTATCAATCTGACCAATGAGACTCGCGCTTTCAGCAACACCGGCCCTGTCGAGCAAGATGCGTGCTGTCCACGTGAAAAGAGAGTCTTTGAGTGTGCGGCGGGTGCGGCTGGCTATCCAGACCCCAGCTGACTTTTTGTCACTTGGCCTCATCGCCGTATGCATGCTGACCTGCCTGTTGTATTGCACGGCACCTTGTGTACACCATATGAGTTTATGCGTGGCCCTCAGGGCTGCGCCAGTGGTTGTGCATGCAGCAGGATTGCCAGCAACATCCTGTATCAAACACAGATTTGGTCCGTCGCGTTGAAGTTGAGAGCATGTATTGGCCATATCCCCAATCGAATGGCATGTGGCCGGGGGGAAACGTGACTGTTGTGTGCAACATTCCAGGGATCCGGCATCCCAGTCAGGTTTTGCCCGTTGAGTGCGTTTCACCCTGCTGATGATGTGCAGCATTGCTACGTCAAGCGAAGCCGCGGCCTGTGATGCAGCGCTGCAGGTGCGATGTGAACACGCCAGACAACGTGGGCACCTTAACGGACACATGATATTGAGGCCGTATTGCCATGTGTGTACCAACTTTCTAGAGTCGCCCACAGCTGCGGTAGTCATCGCAGCCGCGGGTTGATTTTGTAACATGGCGCTCTGAAATTCTTTGTATTTGAACACAGTCAGGGGGCCTCGGTCCTTTGGGGGGTGCGGGGCCCGGGAAAATTATTGACTCGCCTGCAGGCATGCGTTCGCAGGTCAACTGTGGTCTGCGCTCGTCGATAGCACTGCCCCCCACAGCCTGACAGCATGTATGAGAGTGAGTCACGGTTACAGGTGCAAGCTGACCTGAGCAATCGCACAAGAGTGTTGCATCAGTGGTATGTATGCAAGGAGAATTGATGACAAATCAGGACATGCTGCACTCGCAGAAACTGCAGTCACTAACCCACTTTTCATTACGTGCTGTTGGGCTCAGGCCTAACAAACACCAGGCGGGGGTGGTGCTGGTAGTCCTTAAAGCAGGTCAACAACAACGTACAGAAGCCCCCTCAATCATGCTCCTAGTGGGTTGTGGCGCCTTCGGAATGGCCATGAGTCACCTGGGCTGCCGCAGCCGAAGATGGGGTCGATGTGGTTAAGGCAATGCGGCGCGGCGCAAGCTTGGGCGGCGGGGCAACCTTTGGCACAGTGGTTGCGAGCACTCCATTGTGCAGGTTGGCGGTAATCTTGTCCTCTTCCACATTGTCGGGCAGCGTGAAGGGGCGGCTGAAGGAACTGAAGGCACAGCACACGGGCGCCCTGACGGGAGCGATAGGGTGCATGCCAAAATGGGGTGGAGGTGCATGAGAGGAGGCATGAAACGGGGTGCGGTGGGACGGAATCAACGCTGCCTTGATGCGTTGCCAGGTCATTTGCCATAAACGGTTCGCACTGGAAGGCACGCCCGTCGCGTCGACCTGTTGGACCCCACGCATGTCCAGCAGGCTCATGTCGGCAGACTGCAGCCAGCTGCCCCACACTCACTGAGCCTGGCAGGCGCTGCGTCGTCCCTTGCTCTCCTGGCCAGCACTGATTACATGGTCCGGCATAAGCAGATGTGCTTGCCATGTTGTGCCCCTGTCCGCCTTGACCCATGCACCTTGTCCATGTCCTCGTTATCGGCCTTGTTCTTGCCAGCGATGGTCACGTCACCAGCCTCCATAATGATGGTGATGTCACCATCCTCCATGCCGGGTGCATCCACCGTGATGTTGAAAGCCTGAGGTGTATCCACAATGTCCTGCAAACATACAAACTAGTGGAAACAGGTTTGTTGAGAGATAAGGCTCGTGGCATGTCAGCAGGTGGTCTGGGACAGCGCACGGGACAGAAGGATCTGGAATGCAATGGAACACAAACGGGCAGGTCTGCAGGCATTACTCAGCTTGGTGCCGAGCTTGGGCTGCTGAGCGCCTGTGAACGGGTCTGTGCAGGTCTTGCAAAAGCGGTGGCGCCCCCACTACAATGCAAGTGACCGCACCAGGGGGTGCGATGCAATTGCTGGCGCGACGCTTCCAAGGCTGGGCAGGAGCACCGCAACGTCCAACGGGTCGCGAGAGTCACACCCACACACTGATGCTTTGCAAGGAGATTGCTATAATAAGTAGGGACGACAGGCTCGGGAAGTTTTGACACGAATGTCACTGACCTGGCAGGTTCGTTCGTTTTCGGCGGTCCACGAACCATCAGTTAATGAGCTGGCACTGATGCCGCAACTTCACGGAAATTGTGAAGCGAAAGCTGACTGTATGCCGCCTCCAGGAGTTGGACATAGATGTATTGTGAGTAATTAGTGGGTGCCTGAGCCATCCATGCGGTTTGCAGGCAGCCACAGCACCAGGCTGCAGCAGTTTATTGATTCCTGCTATTGGAAGGCAAGGGGTTAATCTGATGTACGTCGCGTGTCCTTGAAGGCTGGCTGCATGGCTCGCGCATGCCGCTCGCCTGCAGAAATGCCAGCATGTAGAAAGGCAGCGTCGGAGCGCGGAGGAGATATTGGGGCCGCGCTAGTGGCACTGGTGGAGATGCTTGGCAGGAGAGAAATTTCTCAGGGCATGTGTACGTGTCCCAGTTCACTGCTCAAAGTGCGCGTCGATACCTGCAGCCCCATTTACATAAGCATGGGCACAGCAAGATAATGCCAGGCTGCAGAGCTGCTGCCAGTTGTGTTGCAGCAGCCGCATCACTGCCGCTTGGGTATGGAGATGGGGCCGTGCGCCAGCAGCGCTCTGAACTGCGCCATCTTGGCCGCCTCAGCCTCCTGCGCCGCCGACAGCTTCTGGGTCAGCTGCTCCCGCTTGGCCAAGTCGCGCTGGTTGCGCCGTGCATTGTAGGACGCCTCCCTGTTTGGGTTGACGCGCAAGGGCACAGGTTCACAAGGGTCTTGCGGCCGGGACTCTTGAGCACCTGGGCTGCTGGTCCCATCATCATCACCTTGCAGGCTGCAAAAGCAGCCTCGCGCCAGCAGTTGGCCAGAGGGACCCTCCCGCATGTAATCACCCTTTCCAACGCCGCAGCGCCCTGCACAAGGGCACTCTTCTGCCTGTACCGCAACCTCTGCGGCTTCAGGCCACCATACCTGGCCTTGGCTGCCGCGAAGGAGTCGTCGCCCCCCATGACATCCCCGCCCCCTGTGACGCGCATCATCTCAGGGCTGTCCTCCCGCGCTTTGGCCGCCTCGCGCCGTGCCATGCGCTTCTCCACCAGCGCCTCGCGACCTTCATGCCAAGCCAGGGGGAGCTGTTGCCATGAGCACGGCGATGGCAAGAAGCAGCATCCAAGCCGGGCAATGCTCACTCTGCCGATCTGTCTTGCACGCGCTGAAAAAGTCAAAACAGCCCTGCCCTTTGAAGCCGATTACCCACCAGTGGCCTTGGGCAACATCTCATCCAGAAGGTCCTGAGAGTGACGTCGAGGTTTGACGCGGATTAGCTGAGAACAAGAACCAGCACGAGCCCAGGCAAGGGTATCGCACTATGATCGACGGCCGCAGGCCTGCCATCGACATTGATGGCATGCACGCCATTCACCTTCTGATCTGACCGCCACTTCCTCTTCTCTCTGCCCTCCGCCTCGCGTGCTGCCAGCTGTCCCTCATGCCGCTGCTGCTGTTGATCCGCCATCAGTGCCGACATGCTGCCACCCCTGCCGCCGCCGCCCTTGGCGGTGAAGCCCCACTCGTGCGTGGTGCGCTTGGTAGGCGCCAGCACTAGGCCCTGGGGATCCGGGGGGTGGGGGCCAAAGGAGTTGAGGCAAGGGCAGACAAAATGTGTGCAAAGGAAGTTTGGTGGCAAGTTGTGCAGACAGATGACAATTTTACGCACCCTAGCAAGACTGGACCTGCATCAGCATAACCCACCCAACAGTGCAGCCCGCCCCTCACACCTTGTAGTACTTGAGAGGCAGCTGTCGTGGGGCAAATCGAGGCGTTTTGAGTGAGTCTTGATGTAGGCCAAACTGTGGCAGCAACAACGAACTAACAGCAGCAGCCACAGCATGCAGGGAAACTATCAAACCACATTGCAAACGCGGCTGAGGTGGAGGTGTGGTGCTCACGTGCCCCCCGTTCCAATCCTCGACAAACTCGACGAACAGCGAGCGCGCCTCGTCCCCGCCCAGCTCGTTGAAGTACTTGGGGGTGGGGGGTAGGGGGAACGCGAGGCGAGGGGTACAGGGCACAGCCAGGCGCAAGGGGATAGATATTGCCAAGCAGGCGAATTCAACAAGGGCACGTCCTGAACAGCCGCACGCCCTACCCCACTGGAAACCTTTCATTAACGAAACCCTGCCACACCACTCCCCTGCCTCCTGGCCCCTGCTTCATGCCGCACCAGCACACGGTCCTCCTGCAGCCAGGCAGTGAATTCAGCCGCCCGTGAAAAGTAGTCGGCCGCGGTGATGTCACCCACGCCAGGGGGCTTGGGCTTGGGCGGTCGCTCCTGCCGCCGACGCTGCCGCTTCTGCTCCGCCTTATCGCTAGCTTTGTCGCCGCTGCCCCCATCCGCCGCTGTCGCTGCGTTGGCAACCTGCTTCTCTGCAGCAAACACGGCCGCAGCTGCCGCCGCAGCTGCATCTCCGCCACCGCCCTGCTTCAGCACCTGCAGGTAAGCAAGGGCGTGCCAGGAGTTTCGGTCCTCTTGAGGCACAAAGGGTGCGAAAGGCCTGCAGACCTGCATTAAAATGCCTTGCACAGCTGTTCCCGGGGCTCCTTTCGCCTCAAACAAACCTGCTGCAAGAAGGCTCTGGCGGCCTCCAGGCGCTCCTTGTCGCGGTCGGGAGATGCGCGCTTTTGCTTCTTGGACTGCAGTGGGTACGGGGTGGTTGTGGAAGAGTTGCTCAGACCAGGGAATCTTTGGAGGAGGGAGGGGTGAACGCAGGACGTATGGTGGGCTCAGAAAGAGTAGCAACATCTTGGCAAACTGGCATGCTGAAATCTACACGAATGGTCATGCAGGCATACAGCCAGCCACCATCCTCGCCTTTGGCCATGCATACATTAGCGCACACCTTATCCTTCTTGTGCTTTTCCTTCTTTTGTTTGTGCCTCTTGTGCTTGTGGCGGTGCTCACTGCCTGCAGGGGCAAGAGCAGCGATTCACAAGGGACGCAAGCAACGGCTTGAAGCTGCGCTGGCTGCTGCATGGCAAGGACATGGTTGTGGCATCTGCAGTTGACCAGGGGTCTGAGACTCACTGTCGCTGCCTGACGGCGAAGGGGAGCGGCTGTGCTTGCCCATGGCAGCCTGCTTGCAGCGGCCAACGGATAGGCCGTGTTGCCGCTATAATACTGACGAGGAAAAAAATGCATGGAGAGGGGTTGAGTGAATGTTAAGAATCCTGCAGGCGCGTAGGCGCCGCAGTGATAGGCCAAAACCCCTCCTGGCTAGCTGCGTTTGCGCTGCAGGGGCATGCAAGTATGCCCCTGCAGCGGCCTGTTGTCACGCATGACGCCGGACAAGCAGGGCACCGTGCAGGCAGCATCAGATAAGCGGACGAAAGCGCGAGTCGCAGGCATTTATACAATGCTTTGACAGTAAGCGCGCTGTTGCTGCTCGCGCGAACGTGGCCAAGCGGTCGATCCTGTGAACCGATCTTGCGGCTTACAGGTCCTTGAACTCGTTTACAAGGCCAGTTGATATCAAGCGTGTAGTCTCGTTGGTGATCTCGGCCAACTCTTGGTGTGTGCTGTCGTGCTGCTCCCTCCTGAGGGGCTCGCTATGGGTGTTGAGGCTATCGTTTATGGAGCGAGCACACGCACGGTTTATGATATGACAAACAGCTGTAGTTGCAATTGCGCTGCCCGAAAAAAGCACGTCACCGTGTGTCACCTTTGTCAGGTCTATCAGTGCCCCGAGCCATTTGCGAGCTTACATCTGCACGCTTCCCACCGCATCTGTAGCAATTCAGCGCGACACTGCGAGTAACGAAAGAACTACAGATGGCAAAGACAAGCGCAGCGACATGAAGGGTGGGCAGGCCGCCCGCTTCAGGAAGAAGCAGGGGGTCGAGCTTAGCCACACCCCGAGCCGGTACCCACCCAGGCGGGCGTGTGTCTGTGCCACAATTTCATAACGATTACTGAGGACGGCCGGTTGCTCCGGGCTGGGCAGCTGCAGGATGCTAGGGACATACGGGCAGGGAGGGAGCGGGTGGAGCCGTCAAGGTCGTCATCATGCACCTGTGCTGGCACTCCGTCACTCATCACTTGCGAGGCAAACAAACCAAGTGTGTTAATTCAATGCGAAGAATGTTAGTGTACCTGTTGATGGGATGAGGCTGGCAAGCCTCAGGATTTGAGGCGACCGTTCAAAAGTGTTGGGCCCTGCACGGGGCACACGCCCGCCCTGCTCGGACATCGTCGGTCCAGAAAACATTCACGAGTTGGGTTACAAGCGTGATGATACAATCAAGTCACAACTACATGGCGCCCGCGCTTGCCGCCACGGGATGGTCCCTACATCTTCTAGTGCTGCTGCTGCTGCTGCTGCTCCTGCTCTGTGCTGTCCGCAATGCTGACGAGCAGCCGCAATGTCTGGTCCCACGACCCGGCCAGCACAGAGCCATGCCGCGGCACCGCCCTCAAGGCAGCCAGCGCCACCTCCGCGTGCTCGTGGCTGACCGCGCGCCGCTGATCACCGCCCAACTCGCTGCCATCCCCGCTGTGCGCACGGCCGTTGCTATCAGGACAGCCAGCAGACGTCTGGTGGTGCCTGCTGTCGTCCACGTCGGCCGCGTCAGGCACGAGGACCACCACCAGGCGCAACTGCCGGCGGCGCAGCCACGCAAGGTGCACCGCGTCTTGCACTACGTCTGGCTCACCGCCCTCCAGCCCCAGGGACGCAGTCGCCAGGTGTCGCGGCAGCACGTCGCCCCTGCTGCTAGGGAGGGTGGCGGGGTGGCCTGGGCTGTCTACGTCGCCGTCCCCCGCCTGGTGTCCCGCCTCCGGGTCGCCCTCGCCCAGCAGGTCCTCCAGTAGCAGCCTGACGGGTCGGGGGCAGGCCGGCCTTAGGCAGAACGGGCCACCTAAGGACTGCCAAAAGTCGCATTGATCATGCCGGCCCTGCTGTGCGGCTGAAATCACGGGTGGCTCGCATGGCAGCACCCTGTCTGAGGGCCCATACACACGATTGCTTGCAGCAGGCCCCAGAGCAAGGACACCAGCAGCGCCGCCGCTCACACTGCGTCTGCGTGCTCCCGCGCCGCCAGCACCCCCGCCACCGCGGCGTTCCTGTGGCCCAGGTTGTCCAGGTCGCACCGCCGCACCGCCAGGTGGAAGTCTGCCGGGGCGGCACGCGCCAGCGACCTGCAGCGCGCCAGCAGGGACAGCAGGCGCGCCATGGACGCGGGCGTCGCGTGCTGAAGCGCCACCTCGCAGGCAACAAGGGAGATGCCTTGAACGGAGCAGGGTGGGGATGGAACAGGGTGGAATGGCTTGTGAGGGCATGCGGGGCTGGTTATTCACGGTGGATTGCCGGCGGGAAGTGCGTTGGCTGCAGGTGTGCAGCACATCCGAAATACTGAAGACGTGTGGGGCAGCAGCTCCCTTGACCTGAACTTGCCCTGACAGAAAAAGGAGTAAGCCCCAGCACCAACAACAGAGTCGATCGCGGCGCCGAGCTGCACGCAGCAGGGTGCGTGCTGTGTGTAAGCGCCGGCTCACCGCAGGCGTGCAGCTGGCAACGCGCCAGCGCCGCTGCCCAGGAGGGCCGGTCCTCTGACGGCGGTGGCCGCCCGTCTCCACGCCACAGCCGTGCCAGCGTCATCAGGCCTTCCCCCTCCCCGGGCGCCTCGTAGAAGACCAGGGCTGGCTGCGCCAGGGTAGCCAGGACCTGCCACCAGGGGGGCAGCGGCGCGGCCGCCTGCTGGTCGGGGCCATCAGCTTCGCCGCCACCCCTGCCAAGCGGGGCGGCTGCAGCCTCCAGCGCATGCCGGATGCCGGCCGGTCCCAGGCGGCGCGGCAGCACCAGCACGGTCGGGGTGCCGGGGCCATGCGTGGCGCGCTGCAGGCGAACTGCGGCCCGCAGGTCGGGCAGGCTGCAGAACACGTGGGCGCCCAGGCGGCGGCACCTGATGGTGGGGGGTCAGCAGGGGATTGGCAGGGGAGGCTGCGTAAGGGGGAGGCTGCCTCGGCCTGGCCTGCGTGGGTCAAGCAAGGCAGCTTCAACAGAAAATGTGTTGTAGCGAAATGCTTCTGAACCCCGCCAGAAGACACGCACCACCCCCCCTCCTCAAGGGGTGGGCTGCTCACTCCTCCAGGCCGTCTGTCAGTGCGTCGTCGTGGGCGTCGCTGCCGCCGCCAAAGCCCAGCAGCAGCACCCTGAAGGGCCGCCACCCGCCCCCACCGCTTTGCCACAGGGTCTCTACTCCCGGCATCAGCCGCGACAGCGCCAGGCCCCCCGGCCCTGCAGCGACGCCAGAGTCAAGCAGCTGCTGCACGCCGCTGGACTCCACCGCACGCTGGTAGCCAGGCGACTCCCCGGGCCCCCGCTCGATAGACAGTGGGGCCAGCCCTGTGGCCCGAGACGCGTTCGCCTGCTGCTGCTGCTGCTGCTGCTGCTGCTGCTGCTGCTGCTGCACGATGTTGGCCGCCGTACGGCCATGCCTGCCCATGCCAGGCGTGCGCGCGGCGTGCGACGCCAGCAGAGTGCCGTCGGGCGACTGCACGCCCAGGGCCGCAGGGCGTGCGTGCTCGTGTGCCCGCGCTGAACCCTCTGCGCCTTTGTGCAGGCTGTCGGCCTGGCCACCGTGCCGCCCAGGCTCCTGCTCCCCTGCTGACCGTGTGTTGAAGAGGGCCATCAGCGAGTCCAGCTGGGGGGCGGCACACGCCGGGCTGCCCGACGGTGCCGCGTCCTCAGCCTCAATGTCGCTGGAGACGCTCGGCTGCTGCCGCTGCTCTTGCTGCTCGTGCTGCTCTTGCTGCTCTTGCTGCTCCCCCCAGCCCTCCTCATCCAACTCCATTGCGTCCCCATCCAGCGCCTGCGTTGGTGCCACCCCTTCTGCCTCATCTCCGTCCTCTGCTGTCCCTCCTGCCTCATCGGGCAAAGCGCCCTGCCCCCGCTGCTGTCGCAAAACGCCGCCGCTGCCGTGCTGCCACTGCCCCCCCTGCGCGCCGTCCTCGCTCTCCACGAGCTCCACCACCTCGTGAGGGCCGCCGCGGCGGCGGCCCCGTGCCAACCCCTCCAGCCGCTCCGTCGAGCCCGTGCTGTCGCTGTCTGTGCTGCTGCCGCCGACATAGCCGCCAGCCCCCGCCTCCTCTGCTCCCGCTGCATCTGAAGCCGCCTCCTCCGACCCCGCCTCCTCCTGTGCGGTCATCAAAGAATCGCCGCGGCCCTCGCGCCCTGCGCCGGTGCGGTCACTTGTCGCAGGCCCAGGGCTGGCGGGCGAGGCCGGCTCCCACGCCCAGCTCACGGGGTGCGTAGCCGCGCGGCGAGCTGCGTCATGCGCGTTCGACTCATCCCAGGCCATCTGCCGCGACCCCTCCTGCACCATGCCACCCGGTCCCTGCTGTGCCAGTTGCTGCGCATGCTGCTGCGCCTGCTGCAGGCGCTGCTGCGCTCCAGCTGTTTGCGCCTGGTACCCGTCATCAGCTGCATTTGTCGGCAAAGCAGGGGCCCAGGGCGCGGCGTCGCCGTATCGAGACAGCTGGCGGAACACCCTGGCCGCGGTGGCCGCATCCTTGGGGTGCATGCACATGAGGCCCAGGTCGTGCTGCCGCACTGTAAATAGCAGGGGGTGGGGGACGCCCTCCAGGGGCAGCACTACCCAGTGGGTGGAGGCGCCGCAGCCAAACGCCCTGGTGTGGGCAAGGGGGTGGGGGAGGTGACACCAGGCAGGTGGTTGGCAGCAGGTGGGTCGTCGCGTAGAGGTGAAGCCTGCTGCAGGGCAGCCACCGCAGTCACAGCAGCCGTTTGATGCTACGCCAGGAAGACAACCCGCGCAGCACGGTGGAGCCGGCCTGTCATCGGCCCTTCCATTGCGCGTCCCGCTCACATCAGCCCTTCCTTGACCGAGGAAGCTGCAGGGAAGGTGACCTTGAAGGCTGTGACGTCAAAGTCCTCGGTGCGCCCCAGCTCGCGCGCAAAAGCCTCACCCACGGCCACGGCTTTGCCGACGTACGCAGTCAGCCGCCTGCCCCCCTGAGCAGCGCCGCGCGTGACGCCCGCAGCGCCAGCTGCGCCGCTCGGTTCGATGGCGGCGTGGCGGCGTAGGGCGGCCTCAAAGGGCGCGAGGGCGCGGCGGTTGCAATCCGGGCCCACGTCGATCCGCGCCTTGGACACCACAATGGGCTGGTGGGGGGGTGGGCACAGGTACAACATGATGTCGGAGTACGACAAGAGGGGGTTTCGACACGGTTGCCCGGCAGTGCTGTGACAACCCCGCCACACAGGCGCCAACGCAGCCGCCAGCCGCACCGCCCTGAACAGAGTACGTTGCGCGACCAGATGCCCAAAAACCACAGGGGTCTCTGTTGACCCCAAGCCATGCACATTCATGCCTGTGCGCCCTCCGTCGGGAGGTTGATCAGCCGGTGCACTGACACACGAGCGTGCGCAGCAGCACCCATGCACATGCCCCCGCACCTTGCGCAGCTTGACGCCCTCCACCACGTCCCTGGCAGACACCAGCTCCAGGGTGCCCTCCCACAGCTTGACACTGCCAGCAGACAGCGGGCGGCCCCGCGTGGCGGCCAGGTTGTCGCGCCGCGCTGCAGCTGGCGCGCCGCCGCTGCCGCCGCCGCCGCTGGCGCCGTTGGGGCGGAGCGGCGTGACGATCTCATCAGCCACCGCCGTGCCGAGGGCAGGCCCCGTGTGGCCCGCCCGTGCCGCCTCTGTCCCGCGCCGCAACTTGCGCTCCTCAGCTGCCCGCCGCGCCGCCCAACGGTCGAGGCGGTCCCCGCGCACCACGGCCTCGCCGCCGACGCTGCGGCCAGCTCCCCGACCCCGGCCCCTGCCGCGCGCCGCGGACCTGGCCCCGCCGCGCCCTGATGCTGCTGGGGCAGCTGCCGAGCTGTGGGGTGGGGCGGCCACGCGGTGGTGCGACGGCTTTGACTCCGCCCGGTCGCTTTGCGGCTGCCGCGCGACCGGCGCCACGTCCTCCATGACCTCCCCAGCATCGGGCTCGTCCTCGCCCTCCTCATCCTCATGCTGCTGTTCCGCGTTTAGTCCCTGCTCGCCCTCCTCCTCCCCCCCCTCCTGTCCCTGGTAGTCCTCGTCATCCTCGTCATCTCCACTGCCACTCCCGCGCCGCGCGTGCCGCCGCTTCCGCGAGCGGCCCGCTCCGACCGGGGCCTCTGGGGGTTGGGACGGGGCCGTACCAGCCACGTGGGGCGCATCGCACGCGGCATGCTACTTAAATAAGTGAGCGCACGTACACTTGCGCTGAGCATCCGCATCCACACCGCCCTGGCTGCAGCTGTTGCAACCCGGTGGTGAATCACGCGCTCGTAGTTGCGTGTGCACCCACACGCCAGGTGCAGGCCCACCTGGGACGTGGAAGCCCGCCTCTGAGCATGAGGTGCAGTAGAAGGGGAAGTCACCCTTCGTGTCGCGCTGCCTCAGCTCGTCGCTGCGGCACGGTACAGGTGGTTGGGCAGCGAAGCCTGGGTGCCCTGTGGGTTGGGGCGGGGCGCACAGCAGGTGCAAGGCCTGCAACACCCCAGTGGCGCTGGCGCTGCTGGTGCACTGCTGCCCGTCTAGCTGCTGCCGCGGCTCTTGGGTAACACAACGTCCACAACACACCTGAGGTAGCAGTAGAAATGTCGCCCAAACGGACACCTGGCCAGCGAAACAAGCCAGTGGGGGTTCATGAGTGCCATGCTTGTTGGGCAGCAGGCACCGCTGTAATGCCCTGTCAAGGCTATTGCCATGTGGCTGCGCTGCCATGCAAGACAGTTGCCTCCTCTCACCTGAGGGCGCTCTTGTCGTTTTCGCAGAGCAGCATGATGTTTTCGCCAAACGTGCTGCCGCACACTGGCCCGTCAAATGGGGTGAGAAATTGCGCGCAATCTGGGCTGCAGTGGTCAGTTCAGTGGAAGGCGCCTGCACCATGGCAAACCAAACTGAACGGGCGCTGATGTGTGGCAGGCTGGCACTCGCCCAAAAACGGTAGGGCAGGATCAAGGCAGAACTAAATCAGGGGCATTGTTGCCCTCCGCATGGCTTGGCAGAATGCGCACCGTCGCATACAGTGTCAGGTGAGGCAGCCCCTTCCTCTTCATTGCCCCGCTCCTCTTGGGCATCTTGCTGCATCGAGCCACGAGCGCTGCGGTTCCCAGAGGGCTTGCTGATGTACGCCTGCGCCGGTCCTGGGCGGCATGCAGCGCCGTGTACAGGCATGTCATCGTCGAGGCATGTCTACGTCTGCGAGCTAGCCACCGTGGTTTAAAGTAAATACCAGCAGTACCGACGGCTTGCTGAAGTGCCCTCTGCGCCTAAAGGTACTGTGGCATCGATCGGTGCAGCTGAAGGGATGCGCTGCTGCCAGACCCGAGCTGCTCGAAACAGGAGCGGATCAAGCAAGGCATACCCACGTGACCGATCTTTCAGGTAAAATCGCAAACTAAGCAGTGATGCAGACCTGATATAAACAATCAACGGTGCTTCGTCTCGGCCATTCCAGCAGCTGGTACCTAGCGGTAGAGCATAAGATGGATTCACCGAAGTCGCATGCGTTTCCATTACACTCGCACATGAGATCAGTGTCACCACAGCGTCGTCACTGCACAGCTAAACTGCACGCTCCATGCAGCGGCGCCTTGGAGATACCGTAGGCTAAGACGCTACAATGCAAAGCCACACATACTGCATTTTGAGAACGATCTCACGTACGATGAAGAACGCGTGCATCTGTACACCCCGCTAGATCACTGCGGTCGCCCAGCTGTCGTGCATCTTGAACTCGTGCTCCAGCCGAATTGCATTGCAGTTGCCAGTGACCATCACAACGATTTTGATATCTAGTGGCAGTCGTTGCTGCCGAGGACGTCCTCCACAACGCAACAAGGGCGCGAACCTGCGGCCCCACCATCGCTGACAAGCTCCTGGCGGCCTTTGCCAGTGCACCGTGTCCGTGCTGGGACCACACACTTTGGGCTTTGTCTATATGTTGATGACAACAACACACAGCAGCACAGCCATGGCAGCCTGAACTCTGCCGCCATCGCGCGGGCGCCAAGAGCAATGAGCGACACGCGCTCGATGCCGGCCGTGCTGCCATTCAGTGTGGACACCTGGACAACGGAAACGGCATCCAAGGCGCAGTTTTTGACTCATGCTCACAAGGATCATACCGTGGGCATCAGCCAGAACGCACGCCACATGTACTGCACGGCCACTACCCTGCACCTCCTGCGCATCAAGTTCCCCGAGCTGGCGGCCGCCATTGACCGGGGTGACGTGCAAGTGACAGTCCTGCGGGACCCGGGGGATAGTGCCATCGGGGACACACTACACCTGTGGTCCGCTGGCGCCTGCGGCGGCTACCCCTACAGCGTAACGCCGCTGTTCCTGGCCAACCACTGTGCAGGTGTGGGCGGGGGGGGGGGGCGGCACAGCTATTCTGAGCAACCACCAACAGAGCGCTACGAGCGGCAAGAGCTCGTTCAGTCGGATTATCATATTGGCAGGCCGTAGCCGGCTGTGCCAAGGCAATGGTCTCTGCTGGCCCGTGCAGTTGCACTCTCTACCTCTGATCAGCATTAGTCCCTGGACCCCTCCCGCTCTGTGTGCCGCAGGCGCCGTGATGCTGCTGTTTGAGAGCGAAGTGTGGGGCTCCATCCTCCACACTGGCGACTGCCGCGTCACCTCGCGTCAGCTGCCTGACCTGGCCGCGGCTCTAGACGAGCTGCTCGGGGAGGGGCCGCACCTGGGGCTGCTGTGTCTGGACGTGACAGCGGGAGGCGGTCAAGACGGTGCCGACACCCTGGTGTGCGGGTGGGCACAGGGGTCTTGTGCTGTCATCATGCTGACGGGCGCCCTGCCACAATTGTGAAGCACATGCCGCTCCAGCCGCTGACAGGTTCCATGTGGCACCGGTGTTGTGTAGTGTTGTGTAGGTGATGGAAGCCTGGCCTGCTCCTCCTCCGCCCGCTATTGTGCACTGCAGGACTTCCCACTGCTGGATGAAAGCGTCGCTGCCGTTGCAGCCCTGGTTCGCCGCTACGCGCCCACCCACAGGATCCTGCTCAGCTGCGGTCAGCTGGGGTACGAGCATGATTACAGGGAGATCAGCAGAGCCACCGGCCACAAGATTTACTTGGCAGAGGGCTGCACCGGCGAGGGGGCAGGCAGGGTGGTTCTGGGCCGAGCGCCTCTTGTGCGCACAGGGGAGGAGGCGTGCTGCTGCTGCTTTCAGACTGAGGTGAAGCGCCGCAGGGGGGTGAGGGGAGGGGGCATGCAAGGGTGGAGGGTGTGCCTGCTGCATCAAGTTTGTTGACGTCGTCGCTGCGCCGAAACTGGAAAACAAACAATTAGGTCGCCTGCTGTACCCAACACACATGCGGCCGCACCACACATCTCATGTTGATGCATGCATCGCGCCCACCCCTCCCACCTGATGACCCCAACCCCAACGGCCTCTTGCAGCGCCTGCATGTTGAGCACTACCGCGAGATGGCTATGCTGCTGGCCGGCCAGGACGTGCTCACCGCGGACCCAGAGTCAACCCCAGTATGGGCCGTGGGTGGTCATGGTATACCCCAGCTCAAGAACGCATTGAACCGCGCTGGCGGCGATGACAGAGGCGCCGACGTCAGCGGGGGCGGCCTGCGCTTTGACCAGCGGCTCGTGGCGCGCCCCGTGGTTGTCATCCGGCCCAGCCTGATGAGGAGCGCGCTTGAGCAGCAGTCGGCGCTGCAGGCCAGCCACGCGCCACTAGAGGCCTGGCGCGCGGCGAGGGCGGCGCCAGGGGTGCAGCTGCAGGCACGGGACGGGTGCCTGTGGACTGTGTGCCGGTCGAGGCACAGCAGCCTGTCGGAGCTGCGAGCTTTGGTCAAGGTGGGGCATTGCACTATGCTAGCACTTTGAGGGCCTGGCCTGTGGAGGATGGCAGCGGGGCCCGCTGCACAGGGAGCAGCCAACGACAGACTGCCAATCGCCTCACGTGGGTGCGACTGCCGTGGCGCAACTCAGCGGAGCTCAGGCTCGGACCCCATCCCATAAACCCGACAGGTGTTGCAGCCCGAGCGCCTCATCGCGTCGACCGGCTCTGCTGCACCCCTGCGTGACGTTGCGCCGAGCACCGCCCTGATGCGCCATGATCACCTGAACGATTACTACACTGCACGCATCGAGGTATGGGCTTCGCAGCAGGGGCGGAGGCAGCAGGGGCAGCAGCTACAGCTGGAGCATGGCCAGCAGGAGCGGGATCAGGGGCAGCAGCAGGACCAGCAAGAACATGTCATCCCCGAGCTGCAGCGCAGCCCACTGCGGCCCACCCAGGCGCCGCAGCAACTGCTGGCGGCTGGCAGCTCCGGGCCCTTAGTCCACATACGCTGCACACCATCCAAGCGATCAGCGCTTGAGGCAGGAGCCGCAGCGCAGAGGCCGTCATTTCCTCAGCACTGTAGCGTGGCTGCGCCTGGCATTGGCCACTCTCACAGCTGCTATGGAAACAACGAGCCATCGTGGGCGGCGCAGCCACTGCAGAGCCGGGAGCGTGGCAGCGCTCGCAAGGTGGTGGTGATCGCCGGCGAGGCTGGCGGCGGCGGCAACGCAAGGCCCCTGATCCGCAGAAAAGCCTGCATGGGTGACGATAGCAACAGCAGCAGCAGCGGCAACAAGACGCACGGCGTAGGTCACAGCTGCAGGCCTGCAAACGCAGGTGCCTGCACCTGTCCTGCTGACTCTGAGCTATATTTCAAGGAAGAGGTTTTGGCGGAGGCAGCAGAGGCAGCATCAACGCAACCAGCAGCAGCTGCAGCAGCGGAGGCGGTGGCGGCAGGAGCAGCAGGGGCCGGCACACCGCCAGCAACAATGCATACTGCATCATCAGCAACGATGCCATCCCATACGCACAGCACCATCATGCAGCGCTGCACGCTGGGCCCACATAATGAGCCCCCGCACGCGCAACCGACTGCGCAGTTGGTGCCAAACTCCACTTCTGCACCAGCTGTGTCCAATCCAGCCAGGCTCCCTGTCCACCACAGGGATGGAGGCTTCCACAGCAGCATCGGCGGGAGGCCAGCGACTGATTGGGCTGCGCTTGGCCTCAGGCAATCACCTGTTGCCCTGGGCTGCCCTATGTCAACGCAGGCAGCCGCTGCCGCTGATGCTTTGGCCAGGACAAACACAGCAGAAGCGGCAGAGGAGGCTGGAGCTGCAGCACCAGCGGGAGCGGTGGAAGCTGCAGCGGCAGCGGTGGCGGCGGCGGATGCACGACGGCGCGTTGCACGCGCCCACTTAGAGTGCTCAATGGCACATCGTGACAGCTTGTGTGACTGGACTGTGAGTCAAATGCGGGCAGTTATCGCCAAGAACCCCCATTCGCTGACATGAATGGTATATATTGCTTTGTCTTGTGGTCAGGTTGTTTTAAGCATTGGTACCGGGACAACATGTGTGTGCCTTGCATAAACACACGCTTATGAGCCACCTTGATGACAAACGTGCTGCAATTGTGCCCGGATTGGTTCATGCACTGAACATGCACACCCACCCTTCCCTTGATCAAATATTTATAGACCAACGCAATTTCACCGCACATGCAACGCTCAACCATCTGCTTTATCCAGTGCAAGGACTTGGCACACTAGTTCATGGTCAGCAACACGCATCACCAGGAGATTTACAAGCGGCGCACAGTGCACAGGGTGCCTTCCATAGCCACTGTGTCACTGGCTGCGTTTGAGCTGTTCGTTGAGCCGCTGCAGGATGGTCTGGGCCTGGGGACGGGGTGACAGCGTGTGGCATGGAGTTGTGTGTCAGGTGAGAGGAGGAGAGCAAGCCACGAGTGGACTGAGCAGCACAATCTGCAGCAACTGCCTGCGTCCGGCGCCAACCTGAGAGTTGTAGCCACCGCCAAACAGGTTTGCGTGGTTGAGGATGTGGTACAGCGTGTACAGGTCCCTCCGCTGGTCAAACAGCGGGGCCTTGGGCGCCACCTCAAAGTAGCCCTGCCAGAACGCCCCGGAGAAGCCTGGAGGCGCAGCATGGGGAGGGTTGAGCGGAGTAGCTTGCCCGGGTGTCTATGTATATATATGTATATATCTCACGTGGCAGTCGCGAGCAATCACTCGACGCCAACCATCAGACTTGGCTTGGTGGCGGCCCGCTGGGCTGGACCATGCGGTGACTGCGCCACGAGTCACCCCGCAGATTTACTAGCCCTGTAATTCGCATTTCGGGTTGTCTTATACTTACCGGCGCACCAACTCATGCCCCACTCCGCCTCTGCATGGCCATAGTATGTGGCCGGGTCAAAGATCACTGGCCGGCCACCAGAGCTGGAGACGTTGCCACTCCACCTAGTGATTCGTGGTCATGGGTTGAGTGAAGTGAGGTGCTCCCACGTTGCCAGCCGGCGTGCAACAAACAACCTTGGCCCCAAACACCACTCGGTCACTCAATGCCCTGAACGCATGCGCTCTCGCAGTCTGCTTGGCCGAACCCCCACATGCGCACACATGTGTGCACACCTGCACCTTTGTCGACTCATGCACGCGCGCATGCATGCACGTACGTAGGCACAAGCCCCCCCCCTTAGTGGCACCCTCCCTGCCCGGCTGTCCAGTGCGGCATGTGTCCTCACAGGTCCCCGTGCAGGATGGAGGGCCGTATCGACCCCGCGATGTCAGTAAACCAAAAGCCCAGATTGTCTAGCACAGGCTGGGCCAGGGCCTTCATTCGCGCATCGCCTGGCCGCGGAGCAGGGCAGCGCAGGGTGGTGCGCACAGGAGGTTTTTGTCGCGGTCGCTTGTGCGAGCATGCAAGATTGCCTGCGCGCACCCGTGCATGGGAGGCGACGCGACTGTGTTTCATGGCAGCCTGTGCCCTGCCAGCGATGTGCACCCTGCCCGTCAGCCTCGTACCCAGGAGGTCGAGCTGGTGGCGCAGCCGCCTCTCCCGGTAGAACTCAACCCAGTCATCCATCCACTCGTTGGGCTGGGGAGTGGCGCCGATGGTGTTGTCCACTGCAAAACCAAACTTCCCGGCCTTGGCATTTGGGTCCTGCGCGTTTTGGGGTTGTAACACCATTCAGGTGTGGGGCGAGTGCCCACCCTACCCATGGGATAATGACCAGCGGGTGTCCCCGATTATCGGGTGACAAAAGACCCACCGTTGGCTCTGCCAGGTGCATCAGCGCCATCTGCCGCCCCAGCTCAGCCTGGCTCCCCCCTCCCTCCAGCCGCAGGTACTCCATCACCTGCAAGGGGGCGCCATGCAGGGGCAGGCGCGAGAGGAGTCGGCGCGTCTGAGGTGGTGCGGGTAGAGAACCTCTCGCTGATCTGCTCAATAATGCCAGATCTGCTGCGAGGGGCTTGGGTCCACAGCAGCAGCGGGCTTGCTTCAGTCTTGTTGGCCTCACAAACTTGCAGCTCTCCCTGTGCCTTGTGCTTGGGCAAGCGCAATGCCGCTCACGATGAATGCGCCGCGGGCATCGGGCAGGAGGCCCACGTGGTGCACGTCAGGGATGCGCACAGTGTTGGTGTCTGGGGGGGCGAGCAGCGCGTACAAGGGCAGGTCATAGGGCGTGCGGCTTTGTCGGCAAGCCTCAACACTGGCATGTGGTCTGCACATCAGTCCCTCGTGATTACCTGGCGTTTGTTCCACCTCTTGCCTCCGTGCCTAGGTTACCTATCTGTCCTTTTCCGGAGCACATCAACCTGCTACTGGCTGCACCCTCTTGGTCCCATCAACCATGCGCATGGCTGTCGTGGCCCACCAAACATAGCCTTGAGCCCCAGCGCCTCCCCCTTGAACATGCCCTCAGCCTTGGCGCCGCCAGAGGTCTTGACAAAGTACCTGGGGGCCCGGGCACCAGGCAAGGGGGGCAAGGCCACTCGTAATACAGGGGCGTGCGACAAACAACAAATTCAAGGCACCTGATCACTGCCTCACTGCATCTCAGAACGGAGCCAGCACCACGCTTCCTTGATGCGCCACGGTGGTCATGTGCAGAGCTGTGCCTGTCTTCCCGAGGCATGCACATGCCCGGGTGGCTCACTCTGCGCCGGCCTCTGTGGTGTAGATGTAGGTGCTGGACCAGCCGCTGCCTCCAAGAAACTTCTCCCTCACCACGTAGCCATCCCCCAGGTTGTCTGTGATCCAGTCCGCAGCAGGGGAGGAGATCCTGCACGTCGCACCGGGCGGGCACCGGGCGAACATGTGCAGCAGCGGAGGGCTGCTGTGACAACTGCACCATGCTGATCTCGCATGACCTCGGGTCTGCACTGGGCCCAGTCTGTACGCAGCTGGAGGTTTCCACAATACGTGCTGCAGCTACGAATGTGTTTGTGGGACTTACCGCGCGCTCTGCATCACAGCCCTCCGCCCTGTAGCGGCGACGGGTGCCTGCCAGGGCGATGGGGACAGCCACGAGCAGCTCGTGTGCCGCTGCGGCGCAGTGCCTGCAGTGCGAGTGCCGCCAGTAAGCATCGCGAATGCCTTTTTGTCTAGTGGTGTGCACACGAGATTTTACCGAAGTCTAGTGTTGCACAGTTATTCTTGGTTGTCCTATTCAAAGTGAAACACTGCAACACACCCAAGATCACTAGCACTGGCAGCGAGTGACTCGCCCCTGCGGGGCTTTTCTTTGCGCAGTTAAATGGAGATCGCTTAACTCCGCGAGTCATATATGTCTTTGTTGGCCGCCTGCGACACCTTCACAACTGTTGACGCCTTTAGATTCGTGCAGTCTTTGCGGAGAAGCCTGCACCTCAACGATGCTTGCTTCGACGCTGTGGCCAGTGCAGCTTGCGCATCACTGCCGCCACAGAGCTCGGGCTCCATCGGCGCCACCGCTGCACGGCCCCTGCACGCTGGCGGCTGCTTTTGATGCCGTCGCGGGCCGCACATGCAGGAGGGGCCGCAGTAGCAGGTGAGGCGATGGAAGCAAGAAAGTGGGATGTGTAAACGTACATACACAAAGCATGCAATGTGTAGACGCGTCGCGATTGCCGTGCGCCTGTGAGGCGACGGAAGAATCATCACGCCCACCTTGCTGTGCAGGGCAGCAGCGGGGCATGAGGAGGGCGAGACGCGCGCGGTGGAAGGGCGCCAAGGAGAGCCAGGGACAGAGGCAGCCAACCCAGGCAGCAATGGGGCCGCTGTCAATCAGGCGGCCTCATCGTCCAGCGACGCGGCAGAGGCCCTGGGGCCCTCAAGCACCAGTGGCGGCATTGACAATGCCTCGAGGGAGGGGGAGGTCGTGTACGTGGAGGAGTTTGCGCTCGCGGCGGCAAAGGTCGACCTGATGGACCAGTGGCATTCGCTGCGCGACGCGGCGTTAGGCCGCTTTGATGGCGGCTACGGCGAAGGTAGCGTGACCATTGCAAAGCGGCTGGCGCACTTTGCAGGCGGCGGCTTCCTCAAGACCAGCTGGGAGGCGGAGGCGGCGCGCCAGGCCCGCATGGCACGGGTGAACACGGAAGAGGTCGAAGACGTTCCCAAGATGACAGCGGGGGATGTGGGGGCTGCAGGTGTTGGCGTAGGAGGGGAAGCCGCCGGCGCCATCAGCTCCGACACGCTGCACATATCATCAGGCAGTCGCTCGCCGCAGGATGGCCGCAGCAGCGAACAGGAGCAGCAGGAGCAGGAGCAGCAGCAGGACGCCAGTGTAGGGAACCTCTTGGATGAGCGCGTTGGCAGGGGCAGCGGCGGCGCAGCACAGGCAGCTGCGGCTGGGGGCGAGGAGGAGTGGGGCCAGGATGACGAGGGTTTTGACGGTGACGCGCACGCGCCGGCGGCGCTGGTGCCCGTCACGTCGATGCTGGCTCTTGCCATGTGGGCAGTAGCTGTTGCGCAGTGGTGGCCTGTGGTGCCCGAGGCTTGGTACGGGCTTACAAATGGCCTGGCGGACGTGACGCTGTGGCAGCTGGCGACCACCTACCCTGACACCCCGGTGACGTGGGCGCTGCAGATGGTGAGGGCCGGTGTTGAGCGCGGGCATCGCACAGCTGGGATGCGTGAGGCACAAAGTGCAGGGTTGTGTCTGGCAACACAGTCATTCCGCGGTTGTAGGCGCGCCTTCAGCTGCAGCAGACACCGGCCCTTATTCTTGCTGGTCTAAACACCGACTCCAAGTGTCCTGGGGCGCCGCGCGCGCTCGCACCGCCCTTGCCCAGGACACAACCGCCGTCGCGGTGGACGGTGAGTGGCACCGCCTCCTGACGGCCGGCCTGCTGCACAGCGGCCTGTTGCCGCTGGTCTGCTGCGCCGACGGCGTACGCAACGCCGGGTCGTGGGTCGAGGCGTACTGCGGCAGCCTGCAGGCCGTGGTGACCGTCGTGCTCTGCGCCGCTGGCGCGGGCCTGGGCCAGCTGCTCGCCGGCCGCGCGGATACGGGCCTCGCGGGCGCAGGCGTGTGCACTGGGCTGTACGCGGCCTGGTTGACCCTGGGGCTGACGCGCGGGCGGGGGGTCATGCCCATCACCAGCGACAGGGGTGTGCTGTACGCGCTGCTCAACGCCCTCATGGCCGCGTACCAGCCAGCCGTCGGCTTTGCCTGCCTGGCGGGCGGGGCTCTCGGTGGCGTGGCTGGCACGCTGCTGGCGCCGCTACTAGCGCGTGTTCTGTACACCTGCACCGCTGTGACGGCAGCGGTCGCGCTGAGCCTGGCGCGGGCAGCGCTGGAGACTGTGCGGCTGGGGCTGGGCGTGGTGCTGGCGCTGCTGGTGGCCACGTTCCGCGCCGCGGGCGAGGTGGCACGAACGGTGCGCGGGCTGTGACCTTTGATCGCGCTCTAGCTGTGCTCGTTATCTGACGGTGAACAAGAGTAGCAAGTTGCAAGCTGAGTAGAGCCTGAGTAAGATCGGGTAAATGACTTGCGAGACACCTGTGCGCTGGGGCTAGACACCTGTGCGCTGGGGCAGGGAACCGACGATGCGCACTTGCAGCCTGAGGTTGTAGGGTGTATGGGCCAGCCTTGCATTATAACCATCGTGATGCAGCCACATCAGCGGGCGCTGGCTGTTGTGACATGTGAAAGGGAGTGTCCGGCGCTCCACTTGGAATTGCTGGGAATGAAATGCTCAAGGCCGTCGCCCGCACGCCGCAGGTGTTGGTCCATTTGCACCACTGTACACATACCCCCTCCTCGCTTTCAGATGAAACGCGCTGATAAACTGATGCATCATGACCTCGTTTGACGTCTCAATCGCAGCTGCTTGTCGCATGATCTACCTTTGGTCTCATGCGCGGATGACAAGCTTGTAAGTATGGGTTTCGGCTTCAGGATACTCCTGACAGCGTGGAGTGTCCTGCTGCTGCAGGCGGGCGTGGCACACGGACACAACCAAACTGGCTTCGCGGGCAGGGTCCTTCTGGCAGCTGATGGGCGCACGCGGGGGCTAGTCCTGCCCCTCACGCACCAGCATGGCAGGCCGCGAGGCCTGCTGCGCAAGGGCAGCCTTGCGATTCATGGCGCAGTGCGCGAGGGGTGAGTAGTTCCAAGTTGTGAGTGTGCAGCGTTTGACTTGAGAATCGCGGGCGGGTGGGCGAGTGTTCCAACCAAGCAGCAGGCCGTACCAGGCCTGCAACAGGTGGTTTCACTACGTGGGCGGCAGCCGAGGACGCGAGCGACATCGCTGCCCCCCCCCCCCCCC